ATATACAATTTAAATGAATATAATTTCCTCCAGCTACCCAAGTATGACTTACTTTAATAAGCCACTAATTGATATGCTAAACTTTTTATTTTCACCAAGTCTTCAAATCTTATTATACATGTCAACTAGCCACCGAGATAACCACTGAGATCTCCTCTAAAAAGCCTATTGGAAACAATCCTCGTATTAGCCATTCATTTTTTGTTCATAAAAGAGAGCTAAGGAGTCCTAAATTACAAAATAATTATTTAAAGCCCAGCCTTGGGTGCAGATAAACAGATTCATTAAGATGGACTCTTAAGACAAAATGGCATAAAAGAATGCTACTACCTTATGTACTTTATGTAAATATTTTCAGTAAATCCTCTTTCCAATTTGCTTTATAAGAGAAATTCAAAACTTGAAAGGCTAGCAAAACAGTCTAAGTTTTCTAGAAATCCATGGAAAAAAACAGGCAAATATCTGCTTAGACCAGAACCTTCTTGTTTTTATGCTAAGTAATTAGGAAGATAAGAACTTCATTGAGTTTACTAGGTAGTATCGCCACGATGCTAGGCTAATGGTTTTTCTTTGTTGTAGTGACAAGCTTTTACTAGGGTTGCCAAAGCTGCTCTCAAACTCCTGGGCTCAACCAATCCTCCCACCTTGGCCTCTCAAAGCACTGGAATTACAGGTATAAGCCACCATACCCTGGCCTCAATATTATTTCAATTCTTATCACACTAACTTGTGAAACAAAAAAGTTCTTTTTATATCGTGTTGTTCAACACTATAAATGCTTTTATTGAGAGAGTCACATATAAAAGAAAAAAAAACATAGTTTGAAAATAGAATGGAAAGTAAATATCAAAATGAATATTTGTAGTTGTTATTAAGGCATCCTAAAATTTCAGTGTGTCCTTGGAAAAATCCAATCTTGATGTTACTAAAATTAGAGAATGAAGCTTTATGTATATAGTAAAAACTGGTTTGAACAAATTTTTCCTCTGGCTACAATGACTTGAATTGATTAACCTGTTGACAGATTTGAAAAATGTGTTTGGTTAGTAGTGAATATATAAAAGCTAACATATAATGAGTATTTTATAATAAATGCAAATTTGTGTACTTGAAACACCTGAGCACAGATTTTGTTACTCTAAACTGGAGTAGGCTGAAGTTTTTATTTATTTGTATGTAAGTATGTATGTATGTATTTCTTGAGACAGAATTTCACTCTGACAGCAAGGATGGAGTACAATGGAGCAATTGCAGCTCACTGCAAACTCTACCTCCCAGGTTCAAGTGATTCTCCCACCTCAGACTCTGAAGTAGCTGAAATTACAGGCACCTGCCACCACACCCAGCTAATTTTTATATTTTTAGTGGAGTCGGGGTTTCACCATGTTGGCCAGGCTGGTCTTGAACTCTTGACCTCAAGTGATCTACCCTTCTCAGCCTCCCAAAGTGCTAGGATCACAGGCATGAGCCACCATGCCCAGATGAAGGCTGAAGTTTTTAAAATTATAACTAAATTGTCCATGGTTCTACTGTTAGTAAGTAGCAGAGGATTTATACCCAAACTGTCTTGCTCTAGAATCCCTAGTTTTATCACTGCACTGTACTGTAGTCCAGGACCCATGTGACTGATAATGTACTTCTCCCCTCTTCATCATCATTCTTTCATCTAAACTCCTACAGGTCTAAATACAGCTTATGGCGGAAATGTGACAGACTGAAAATGTATGTGTCCCCAAAATTCATATGTTGAAACCTTATCATTAGTGTGATGGTATTTGCAGGTGGGGCCTTTAAGCAGTGATTAGGTCATGAGTCCTCATGAATGGTATTATTACCCTAATAAAAGAGGTAATAACCAGACAGCTCCTTCATTCTTCGACCATGTGAGAACACAATGAGAAGTTTGCCATCTATGCACCTACTGGCATATTGATTGTGGACTTCCCAGACTCCAGAAGTACAAGAAATACATTTCTGTTGTTTATAAGCTACCAGTCTGTGGTATTCTGTTACAGTAGCCTGAATGGAATAAGACAACTACTATGGATTGAATATGTTCCCCTAAAGTTAACGTGTTAGAAATTTATCATCGTTACAGTACTAAGAAGAGAAACCCTTGAGAAGTAGATTAATGCTTTTATTATTGGAGTTCAGCCCTCTTTGTCTCAAGCACTCATATGACCTTCTGCCTTTTTACTCTATTGCTCCTCTGCCATAGAATAATACAGCATGAAGGCCCTTGCAAGAGGTTGGAACCATGATTTTGGACTTCCCATCCTTCAAAACTATTAGAAAGTGAAATCATGGATAAGATTGTACTACTGTAATAAGAGGTATAAATCATACTCAAGTTAAATAGAATCATAATAAAATTCCAAAAGCAGGCAGAATAGAAGAAAAAACAGGTAGAACAAATAGAAAACAACTAGCACGCTGGGCAGATTTTAACCAGATATCATAAAAATGGTTACATTAAAGGTAAATGGTCTAAAAATACTAATTAAAATACAATTAAATAATAAAACAAGAGCCAAATATATGCTGTATACAACAAACTCTCTCTTTTGTTTTGTTTTGTTTCTTTTCTTTTCTTTTCTTGAAACAAAGTCTCCCTCTTGTCCCCTAGGCTGGATTGCAATGGCGTATCTTGGCTCACTGCAACCTCTACCTCCCGGGTTCAAGTGATTCTCCTGCCTTAGCCTGCTGAGTAGCTGAGATTACAGGTGCCTTGCCACCACGCCTGGCTAATTTTTGTATTTGTAGTAGAGACAGGTTTTCACCATGTTAGCCAGGCTGATCTCAACCTCCTGACCTCAGGTGATCTGCCCACCTCAGTCTCCCAAAATGCTAGGATTACATGCGTCAGCCACTGCACCTGGCCAACTCTCCTTATATATAAAACATAAAAAAGTTAAAAGAAAACTGATGTAGAAAACATACCATGCAAACCCACCTCCAAAGAAAGCTGGAATGGTTATAGTAATATAAAAGCAGGCTTCAAAAACAGAAATATTACTTGGAAGAAGGATAAAATTAATAATGATAAAGGGTAACCAAGATGACATAAAAATTCTAAATGTGCACCTAGCAGAAGAATTCCAAAATACATGAAGCAAAAACCAACATAACTAAAAGGAAAAATATACAAGTCCACAATTTTTTACTAAAATTTCAACACAACTTTTTCAGTAATTGACAGAACAAGTAGACAGAAAATCATTACAGATCAAGACTTCAATAAGAATATCATCTGACTTAACCAACTATCAGCTGATTAAACATTCTTTTCAAGTGGGCATTCAGGAAGATAGACAACAGCTGTGCCATAAAACAAACCTCAACCAATTAAAAAGAAGTGATAACATAGCAAGTGCCTTCTCTGACTATAATAACATTAAATTATACAGCTATAACAGATATCTATAAAACCACAAATATTTGAAGATTAATAAATATACTTCTAAATATCCCGTGCAAAGAGCAAGTTAAAAGGAAAATTAGAACATGTTTTAAGTTGAATGAAAATTAAAACTCAGTGTAATAAAATGTATAAGAAGGTGCTAAAGAAATGCTTGCAGTGAAACGGATTGTGCAAAACACTTCCATTAGAAAAAAGAAATAGGTTTTTTTTCAGTTATCTAAGAACAATGACCCTGACACCTGTTCCCTCTTCCTTCCCATCAGAGTAAATTATCTGTAAGGAAGACATATACATCCAAAAGACAGATTTTCCAAACACATGCATGCACATTTTGAAGCCAGACATTATAATCAATTAAGATCCATTCCTAGAACATCTGGTCACCAGACAAGCATTCAATTTAGGAACTATCACTTTAAGCATTAAATGCAACTGCATTCAATAACGTTTTGTCTCCTTCCTTTGAAAGCAAAAATATCTGCTTCAAAACTATAGTTTTATAATTCAAAGGAAAATTTACCATATTGTTTACTATTTGTTTTCTCATAGTTGAAGTTGGAAGCGGACAAAATACACAGCAGGAAAGCATAATTAATACAGTATGTGTATCATAACATCTAAAGCTATGGCTATAAATATGTCTTCAGCTTAGAGTGACCAACCATCATAGATTGCCCAAAACTACAGGGATTCCAGAGTCATGGAATTTTCAATGCTAAAACTGGGCAATTCCCGAACAAAGTTTGACAAGTTGGTGATCCTAGGGATACATGTCTAATGAATCATACAGATCTATTTTAATTGAACAAATTATGAAAATAAATTATCAAAATCAATTATTTAAAAACAAAATAATTCAATGTATTAAAACATGTTAACTTGATTTGTTACTTATTTTCATGGGATATACATTTGTTTTGGTAACTCCACATTTCTGTTGTTAAATGTAAAGTATTACCACACTTCATTTTTTTTCTCTTGTAATTTCCTACACAAAAAAGAAATCTGGAATGGATTATGTGT